GAGTTGGTGGTGTGGGGAGGTCTTTCATTGTCTATTGTCGGGTCGGGCTTGCCTTTGTTTCTGGTCATTGGGCAATACCTACTCCCTCCTCCAGTTAGTGGTTCTGTTTATCCATTTGGCGGGGATTTCATCATAAACAGTCTTGGGAGAGTCTTCCAATATTACCATATGTGTGTCATGGGGTGGTCTTGATTTAAAATTAGATTTTTGTGCAGAAAATATTACAGTTTTTTTTTGGTTTTTTGATAAAATATATAGACCTTTGAGAGCTTTAGCCTTTTAATTGATAGATCCATATCGTATTATATATACCTCTGGGCATATGGTGTTGGGCCACTTATCTAAAGTGATAAAGTAGGCCGGGATATCGACATATGCGTTCAGGGCCTCTATATAACACCACCCCCCCCTGGGGTTGTGCCATATGTTTGGTTTCATTCCCGACATGCCGACCAGCACAATAATAATAATAAATATATCATTAGGTAAGGTCTAGGTCCCTGGTGACTCCTTTTTGGCTAATTGATTCTCTGCCCAGCCCCTTGAAATATATTTGCAAGGTCATATTAAAGTCAGAGGCCTCTCCCACCTCCGGCCAGTTCCATCTCCAATACGGAAACGTAAAAATTTCAATTTTGTTTATCACCATTTTTATGCACCTATTTTGGCTCTTCGTTTTCATTTCCATAACCATTTGGATATCGATTCGGATGTCGATATTTTAGTTGAAAGTCTTAACCCGACTGGTGGCGACGCAGTGCCAGCTCCGAATGCGAAATAAACGCCAAACGTGCCAATATATTTGCGGCCTATTCTGCGACATGGAAGCGAGGTGTTTATTTACAAAATACGATTCTTAAAGAAGCTCTTCCAGCTCTATTGAGGTTTCTTCAAAGTTCTTGTGAAATTGCAGGAAGACCAGTTCTTATCGCTGGCCCCGAGTGTGTGTGTGTTTTTTATTAATTTATGGTGTCCGAGTGTGGGTGAGTGTGTTGTGTTTTCATTCGATTCGATCGGTGGAGTCACACGACTCTTGGCCATTAATGGGATAAGAGCTCCTCCAACCAGTTGGGTTAAGGGCACAAATTTCATAAGAAATGGAGAGTACTACTAGGAGTAGGGTTGCTTTCCTAGCCTCGCCTTGAGTTACCAATCTTTTCAGGCCATTAGAGACACCTCTAACCCCTAACCCCACCAGCCAGTTAAGTGCCTAACCCCCCCAGGTACCTCTAGATCGATGAGACTAAGGTCCTTGACATTATTTGGCGAAGAGCCCTTGGCTATGGCCCGAGCTGCGGGTATTCCAGCAGAACCACTGAACTGGGAAGTTCCGTCTGGCCGCCTACACCTCCTCCCCTCCCCGCCTCTCTGGAAAATAATGAAAAACAAATGCGCACAATAGTCTCCGATATACACCTGAACCCACTATCCCCCATCCACGAATGAATTATAGAGTCATATGCATATGTGTTTAGGCTTTGGGAGCTTTATCAGCACGCTTCGCTGCCCTACAATGGGGAGTGGTTATGTGGTGGTGGGGGGAGTGGAGTAGAGGGTGGCGCAATTATAATCAGAATTAAGTTTATTTGTTTAAATGCCTAAAGAGCCGCTTCCTCGGTTGGTACGCACTTTTTTTTTTTGGGCCATTCCCCCAAGCGAACATGACTCGGTGATTCTGCCTCCCGATAAGCTTCGAGAGTCTACTTGGCGTGGCACGTGATCTGATTCCACTCAAGACTAGAGACTTGATTAGTAAGAGGCTTTTATTAAAATATTAAATATCAAGAGAAATATAACAAGTTTTTCAACAAATCATAAAAATAGAAAACATATTCTTATCCTAAGGTCGTTTTTTAACAAAATCTTAGTTCTTGGAAGAGAAACTGGTATATCTTTCGAGGAAGTGGTTTGAAACTTGGCTAGAAGTGCTCACTCTTCTATACTTCTGTGGGTCTATAACCTTTAGCCACACACGCACTGGCGCACCCTGCTCTCGAGGGCCTTTAGTTTCTTCAGCAACTCCTGGCAAAGATCATCCCTGTCTGGACATCCCCCACAGGGGACTCCACCTGGACCGCATTTGCAGGGATGTTGGTGGGGACGTGTGGGTCGAGTGGGTCGAGTTGGCCGCGTAGGGCGAGTGGGGCGGGTGGGCTCAGTGGGGCGAGTCGGCTGTGTTGGTCTGGTAGGTTCAGTTGGTCTAGTAGGCTCCGTAGGACGGGTAGGCTCAGTCGGACGAGTTGGTACTGTAGGGCGAGTTGGCTGGGTGGGTCTAGTAGGTTCCGTAGGTCGAGTAGGCTGCGTAGGACGAGTGGGCACTGTTGGACGAGTAGGTTCCGTAGGACGAGTAGGTACCGTTGGTAACGTTGAACGAGTAGGCTCAGTTGGGCGAGTGGGAACTGTGGGCCGAGTAGGCTCAGTTGGTCTGGTAGGCTCCGTTGGGCGAGTTGGCTCGGTGGGGCGGGTTGGTACTGTGGGCCGCGTAGGTTCCGTAGGACGAGTGGGCTCTGTGGGACGAGTAGGTACCGTTGGTAATGTTGGACGAGTAGGCTCCGTAGGGCGGGTAGGCACGGTGGGGCGTGTAGGTTCAGTCGGACGAGTGGGAACTGTGGGCCGAGTAGGCTCAGTGGGACGAGTAGGAACCGTTGGCCTAGTCGGCTCCGTAGGGCGAGTCGGCTCGGTGGGGCGGGTTGGTATTGTGGGGCGTGTAGGCTCAGTCGGACGAGTAGGCTCAGTGGGACGAGTAGGAACCGTCGGCCTAGTTGGCTCAGTCGGACGTGTAGGTTCAGTTGGACGAGTAGGTACTGTGGGCACTGTGGGCCGAGTGGGCACTGTAGGACGAGTTGGCTCAGTTGGAGAAGTAGGGACTGTTGGGCGAGTAGGTTGAGTCGGTTGTGTCGGTTGTGTCGGTATAGTAGGCTCAGTAGGACGAGTAGGTACTGTGGGTACCGTGGGGCGAGTAGACTCCGTTGGTAATGTGGGCCGAGTTGGGACAGTTGAGTGTTCGCCACAACCACAAGGCGGTGGTGTAGCCTCAGTTGTAGGTTCAGTGGGGACGGTAGGTACTGTGGAACGAGTTGGTTGGGTTGGTTGGGTCGGTCGGGTTGGCTGCGTCGGGAGTGTAGGTAGAGTTGGCTGAGTTGGACGAGTAGGTTGCGTTGGTTGAGTTGGTACAGTAGGCTGGGTGGGCTGAGTTGGGCGAGTTGGTTGCGTTGGTTGAGTTGGTCGGGTAGGTTGAGTCGGCACAGTAGGTTGAGTCGGTCTAGTCGGCTGAGTGGGCTCAGTTGGGACAGTTGAGGACTCGCCTCCACCACAAGGAGGTGGAGTGTCCTCAGTTGGTGGTTCTGTTGGACGAGTAGGCTGGGTAGGCTGAGTAGGGCGAGTAGGTTCAGTTGGAGGAGTGGGTACTGTTGGACGAGTAGGTTGTGTCGGTTGGGTCGGTACAGTAGGCTGGGTGGGCTGAGTTGGGCGAGTTGGTTGCGTTGGTTGTGTTGGTTGTGTTGGTCGGGTAGGTTGAGTCGGCACAGTAGGTTGAGTAGGTTGAGTCGGTCTAGTCGGCAGAGTAGGAGGAGTAGGCACAGTTGGACGAGTAGGTTGCGTTGGACGGGTGGGCTGAGTCGGTTGGGTCGGTATCGTAGGCTGAGTCGGACGAGTAGGTCTAGTCGGCTGAGTAGGCACTGTTGGGACAGTTGAGGTCTCGCCTCCACCACAAGGAGGTGGAGTCTCCTCAGTTGGTGGCTCTGTCGGGGGAGTAGTCTCAGGGGGGCTGGAGGTGTGCTCCCCACAGCCACACGGCGGTGGAGGAGGCTCAGTGTCGCAGGGCGGTGGAGCCGGAGTTGTGGTTGTGGTGGTCTCTGGCTCCGGTTCGGGGTCAGGACACCCACATTCAATGGCTTGGGTGCAACCCACCAAGCTCACAAGAAGGATGCCTGAAAGAGAGCAGGATTATGGGTATACGATCTTGAAACTCTGATATATCTTATATATATCTCAGATCCTTACCAACTACGATGAACTTCATGTCGTAAGACACCTAGTTAGTGCTGCACTATTATAATTCTTGAATTGTCTTCGAAAACTGATACTTTACTTGGCAGAGTCCTCCGTATTTATAGGAGGGTGGGTCCATGCCACCCAACATACTGTTTTCCGACAGTTGGGAACGTGTTTTCGAGAAATGGGTTCACCTCCGCGTGTCTTGAAGGTAAACATGAGACCTGAACTTCAGTTCGATGGGCTCTGCGCATATTTTTGAAACGTGCCAGTGGCGCGTGCATGAATATTTGCTCAAGTTTGGGGGTTTATTGATGGGGATTATCATGCTATGGGAGCTATATCCTTACTATCCTTAATAGCCTTACTATCCTTACTATCCTAACTATCCCTTGAGGGAAGTATTGTAGGGAATATGAGCTAAGGTCTCACCTCAAAGCGTTCCTTACTAGTCTAGAGTCTTGAGAGTTCTTGAAGCAGTTTTGGATCTGTTTCTTGTAGAGATTCTATATCTATTGGTTCCATACCATATTCCCCACTCCTTCCCAGGAGCCAAGATGACCAAAGTAAAGTAAACAATACCAAAAAATGAAAGAAACTCTAAGCTCAAAGGTGCCAACAAAATTAGGAGTAACATTCGAAACATATTCGGATCCAAAGAAAAAGTCTAAGAGTTCGCCCACACCATCGACCTCAACAACAACATCAACAAATACAACAACAACAACAACAACCACGCAAACACCACCCACAACCTCGTATGTCATTAAATGTCTGTTGAAAACAGCACGTTTTATGTGGCAAGTGACGACAATACCGTCTAAGATCGGTGATACAATAGGTACCCTGTACCGATATGCTCAGGATTCAGTTGATAGTATTCTATGCGTAGCTGGGTGAGAGCTTAATTCTAATTTAGCTTAATATAATAGTTATTAAAATATAATATACAATCTACAATTTAAATTTTATTATTAATTTTTAAATACTTTCTTATGTCTTTATAGGAAGGCCCGTCGCAAGGAACGGGATGGCGATCAAAATTCAACAGACACCAAACTGTATTTGGAGGAGAGTGTCCTAGAACGTAAATTACCTGAAGCTGATCTCAAAGCCTTAGTGGATCTTCCAGCTGGTTTGGATTACAATGAATGGCTAGCGTCACACAGTAAGTAGAGGAGTACCTCCTTAAACCTTTGATTTTTAATTAAAATCCATCACTGCCATGACTCACATTTTAATTAAACTGTTGGATGGCTTACATCAGCTTTTCTTTGGCGGCATCGATTTTGAGATATTACATCATCTCCTAGAGCTCTCTGAGGGGAGGGGGGTGGCAGAATGCAAATTACACAGCTCTTTGTAGACACAAATGATGCAAATAATTGGCAATGTATCAGCAGCTGGAGGGCACCACCTCCTCCTCTTAAATCTCCTCCTCTATCTTCAAAGATCTTTGTTGGTTTTTTTTTTGGAAAAATAATCAAAAGTTTCCAGTCTCTCTTGGGTTATCTTGGAACTGGGTTAGGCTTTGCATTGGCTGCGATTTCATAATGCAGCTCCGTCACCTCCTCCATGATGTCTGACGTAATGGGGACACTTGTGCAAATATTGAGTTGGCATTGACCTTACTGGGTGGTGGGTAAGCAAGACCTTATCGGTAGAGAGCTACCCCTACACTGGAAGAAATCTAAGTGATAAGGAAAGGGGGTATTCCACTTCTTGTTTCAAGAAATCCTCAATTATTTCATCATCTATTTCAATTATTGGACCATAACCCTATAACTACCTCTATATCTCTATTTCTTTTTATAGCCCTGGCTCTATTCGAGCACGTTAACTTGGTCTATGGAACTATTAGTGAATTTTGTACACAATCCGGTTGCGCCGATATGACTGGACCCGGCAACAGGTAACTAATACTAATACTAAATACCTTTAATAAACTTAAACAAAATATTATTATTATTTATTTTTTTTAAGAACGTACTTATGGTTCGACGAGAAGGGCAAGAAGACGCGCGTCGCAGCGCCACAGTACATCGACTATGTGATGACGTTCACCCAAAAGACGGTCAGCGATGAGTCGATATTCCCAACCAAATACGCCAACGAGTTCCCCGGCTCGTTCGAGTCGATCGCTAGGAAGATACTACGCTTGCAATTTCATGTGATAGCGCATCTGTATGCGGCGCATTTCCGAGAAATAGCGCTGCTCGGCTTGCACACCCATCTAAATCTGACCTTTGCACACCTCACCGCCCTCCATCGGCGCTTCAATCTCATCGACGAGAAGGAGACGGATGTCCTGCGTGACCTCGAGGTGGCGCTCCGTCTCACCGATCAGGATAGCGGTGGCGGTGGTCAGGATACCGCCAACACTTCCACCTCATCGTCGGCGCTTCACGATCATGACCCCCAACAGCAGCACCAGCAGCAACAGCAGCAGCATAATCATCATAGCAGCAGCACTAGCAACAGTACCTCCTCGGCGGAGGCGTTGCATGTCAATTCACAAAGCAACAATGGCAGCACATCCGCCTCGGTATCCGCCGTCTCCCTGATCGATGGGGATGCGGCGGCGCCACCAATTTGCACGCAACCGGAGGCCGGGGCGGGGTGTAAGCCGGCTGGGAGCAGTGGCCTCCTCGGTGGGATACTGGGTGACTTGACCAGCGGCGAATTTGGTGATACAACGCGCTACTGCACCTCGGCGGTACCTCAGCAGGGTGGCACGGTAGCTGGAGCGGGAGTGGGAGTGGGAGTGGGAGTGGTTACTTCCTCGGAATCCACGGCCGCTTTGAACAATGGCGCGGGCGCACTACATTTAAACTTTAGTAACAATAACAACAATAATCATAATCTGAATCATTTGAACCATCACCACCACCACCATCACCATGGTCATGGACACGGACATGGGCATCATGGTCATCATCCGCACCATGCAGCGGCGCAGCAGCAGCACAGTGGCCTCATCCAGTGCAATGCGGCGGGCGGTGGCGGTGGCAGTGTGGCTGCTGGTGGTGCCACAGCAGCAGCGGCAGCGTCATCGACCACAACGGCATAGTGGAGCTACTGGGAGGAGCAACTGCAGCAGCAGCAGCAGCAGCAGAAAAAACAACAACAAAAAACATTAGAAATACTAGAATTACGCAAAAATGTTATTTAATGTTACTTCTATGATCCTAAAGTTGAAAATATTGTAAAAATAATAAACAAAAAAAAAAAACAAAAAAAAAAAAGCATAATAATTACGAGAAGAAACACACACGAAGAAAAAAAATAATTACGCTAATCGAAAGTTGGCATAGTAGTTCCGTAAAGTTGATTTAGAAATGTACTTATTTGTATAGAAGGGACAGGGACGGACCGACAGACCGGAAGACCGGAAAACCGGAAGAGCTGCAAGCATATAGAGTTTAGAGCCCAGGATTTTTGGCCTGCTTATATGCTTTACAAGTATTTTAACCTTCTTCTACAAAAAAAAAACCGATTATTGAATTTAAAAATAAAAAAAACATAAAAGTCCTGACTGAAGCCAGAGTGCAAATGCAAAGTCAACGCCTACAAGGCAACAATATTTAAACAGTTTTGAACTAAAATATGATTTTCTTAAAAAAAAAAAACAGTACTTCTGATTATAATTTAATGTTTTTATTTCTGTTGGAAAACAATTTTAAACTATAACCTACTAGACGCCATTAAATGCAGTTTTTTAGACTAAAAGACACAGACACTTTTCACAGTGTACTTGGCACAGCCAGCCTGAAAGTATGCACCTAACCATCACCTCCACGAACTGCAAACAGTCGCCCAAAAGTATGCACCGAAAAAAGTATATAAACCAACACACTCACACAAGTAAGCTCCTGAAGATATGCAACACACACACACACACTCTCCCTCATTGTTAAAGTATGGAAATTTTTAAGGAAAATAATAATTAAAATATATAGCTATGGAAATGCAAGATTTATGCTTCGGATTTCTTAAAAAAAAAAAACAAGAACAAAAAATAAACAGAAGGGACTTGTATGTTGTACCGTATTGTGTTGTGTTGAGATACCCTTTCTATAGAGAAACAAATGGCAATGAAGGAAACTTACTTTAAATAAAAAGGAAAAAATTAAAAAAATAAAAAAGTAAAGCTAAAAAAACAAACACGGAAGCAAAAAAGCGTTCAGTGTAGACTAGTAGATGACAAAGCCCTCGCTCCCGTTGTAGATATAATTCGATCCAGATCCAAGTCAAGACACAGTAACTTTCACATAGAATATCCTCTAAATGAAAGCACCCACACTTTCGATCTGTTGAACTTTAAAACACACACACACACACTCTTAAAGAAGAAAATACATGTATTTAAATGTAGGTATGTGAGTTATTTATAGAATACAGGTGCAAATAAAAACGGAAATGAAAAAACCAAGAAACCAAAAAAAAAAAAAAAACACAAATAAATGAAGACAAAAATTCATGAAGAAAAAAAGATAATAAAATAAACTGTTATGTTCAATTGAATGGAAATTTTCTTTATTATCAAGTTGTGGTCTAGTAGGCTTAGATTGGTAGGTCAACTGTCATATCCCCTAGATCCCAGACCTTCAAAATCATTTCAACAATCAACACGAATGATTCAATATCTGAACGTTCTCCCTATCCACACAAAATTTATTGTTTGAAATCAAAGGGGGGGATATTTGGATCACTTAAAATGAATTCCTGGTGAGTATTCTTAGTAACATCCATCCTCCATCTGGAATCTAGAGAAGAATTCGAATCGCAGGTCCCTCTTTTCATTACGCAACCCCCAATGCAAGTTGCGCAACTCGCTGGTGGAGATCTCCCGCTCCAACCGCCACACTGATTGTTGCTTCATCATCGAACCGGAGAGTGGAGTTAGCAAGACTTTCCCCTGCCACAGGCTGATCTTCAGTTGTGCCTCGGAGGTCTTCGATCGGATGCTGTACGGTGAGTACAACGAGTCCACCAGCGGCGAGGTCCATCTGAACGATGTGGAACCGGATGTGTTCGAGAAGTTTCGGGATTATATCTACGGCTTCGAGTACGAGAAACTGACGCACTACGACTTCGACACCCTCATCCGACTGGCCGAGTTCGGCAACAAGTACCTGGTACAGTCCATCGAGGAGGACTGTGTGCGGGAGCTGATAAGCCGCAAGGCTTCCTACGATATGGGTGAACTGCTGCGACTGTTCCAGTGCGCCCACCACCTCAACCAGAAGCCCATGATCGAGACGGTGGCCTGGGACCTCAAATGCAACCATTCCGGTACTCTCAACCATGCCGGCGTCTACGAGTTCAATGCGGATGTCTTCAAGCACTACATCGAGGTGATTGCCGGCAAAATGCCGGAGGCAGATCGCTTCCGTCTCCTGGAAATGTATCTCAAATACAATGGTATCGACGATGGCGAGTATACCTGCACCGACCTGCCCGTGGTGGAGGCCCACGTAAGTGAAGCCGATGCCGCACAGGTAGCCCCTGATCCGCCCGCCGACGACAGTGGTGCGCCGCTCCAACCTCGTCCCAGTTCCATTATTCTGTCCAATGAGGAGGAGAGACGCAAATACGTGAGTGACCTGGTCGGGCTGATCGACTTCGACAAGTTCTCGCCCAAGGAGTTCTACGAGGGTCCTGGGAAGTCCAACTTCCTGAGTCTGGCCCAGAAGTACGAGCACCTGTACAAGATCGCCCGGATGGTTGTCAAGGCCAAGGAGGATTTGCAGCTGAAGCTGTTGCCCACCCAGGAGCCGGGACCCTTCCTGGCCGACTCCCGACGTGTCATCAGCCTCGGAAGCTCTCTGACCCGCAATGAGTCCGCATCTAGTGTGATCACCTCGCACCACGCTCCTCGTACCAATCGTCGGTATAGGAATTTCTGAGTTCCATGGCGAGTTTCAAACATAAATCTGTTATATTTTTTCTTAAATAAAAATTGTTGAAGATATAGGTTGTTTACTTATTTTGAATAAAACCTTTTAAATAAAAACAAAAAAGTATTATCTTCAGTTAGGCGTTGAATATATATTTGTTTATTATTTATTGTTTATATCACTTGCCGGCTAAAGCCAGTTTATAAATTAACAATTCAGATAAACAAACAAAAGAAATTCACAAAAAAGCAGTTCTTATCAAAAGTACATTTTTATATTTTTTGAAAAAAATGTCCCAAATAAACTCTTATTAATATTTAATTTAAATGGTAATTCTTCTTTAAGTATTATGTATATTTCAATTTAAAAGACCTTATACTTTCCTTACTATTTCTTGCTGGAATTTATCTTTAATTTTTCCCAGTGCCCTATCTATATCCCTCTCCAATCCCAAACACACCCACACAATGGAACCCATTCCCAGTGGCTTCTGCTCCCTAATTTCAGTCGAGTTTGGATCGTCAACCGAGACAGAGGCATCGGCATCGCTATCCCAGTCCACGGAGTACGAAACGAAATCAGATTGTGGGACTAATTGAGGAAATGGCAATCGCCGCTTGGACGCCGCTTGTGGCGGCACTGATCGTGTGGCAAGCAGGGCCGGCAGTGGAGGTGGCGGCCCAGGTGCCGGGTCCACGGACGCGGTACGAACCTAACTGGGCCAGTTTGGATCAGAGACCCCTGCCCAGGTGGTATGACGAAGCCAAAGTGGGCATCTTTCTGCACTACGGAGTGTACTCTGTGCCCAGCTTTGGTTCTGAATGGTTTTGGACTAATTGGATAAGTAGGGGAAATATTTACACAGAATATTATAATTATATTTCTTAAATACTTTCCTATGTTTGCCTTTCAGACCTCCATAATCCGGACTATATACGATTCATGCAGCGTAACTATAGGCCGGGCTTCACTTATCAGGAATTTGCTGAACAATTCACAGCCGAGCTATTCAATGCCACAGAGTGGGCGTTGTTGTTCAAAGATAGTGGAGCCAGGTACTTGCATAAATACTATAAATATTAATCTTTATAAATAATACATTATAATTCAATACAGATATGTAGTGCTCACCAGTAAGCATCATGATGGCTTCACCCTGTGGCCCTCGAAGAGCAGCTTTGGCTGGAATTCAGTGGATGTGGGTCCAAAGAGAGACATTATCAGTAAGCAATCAAGTTCTTGATAAAGATTATAGACCTATAATATATGTACTTCATAGAGGAACTAGCTGCCGCTATTCGCAGCGAGTCGGATCTCAAATTCGGACTGTACTACTCCCTCTTCGAGTGGTTCAACCGACTGTGGACCGACGACAAGCTGCACCTGTTGATGCAACAGAACTACGTGACCCGGAAAGTGCGTCCCGAGCAAATGGAGTTGGTGGAACAGTACCTGCCGGAGGTGATCTGGTCCGATGGGGACTGGGAGGCTCCAGCCAAATACTGGCGTTCCGAGGAGTTCATCGCCTGGCTCTACAACGACAGTCCTGTCAGGGACACGGTGGTCACAAATGATCGCTGGGGCTTTGGCACAGCCTGTTTGCATGGTGACTTCTATAATTGCCAGGATCGGTTCAATCCAGGGGTCCTGCAGGCCCACAAGTGGGAGAATGCCTTCACCTTGGACAAGACCAGTTGGGGGCAACGTTTCGATGTGAGTTTGAAGGACTTTATGACCTCCAAGGAAGTAATCAAAGGTGGGAAGTACATTATAGATGTTTCAAATCTTGCTAAGTAATTCTTTCCAGAAATTGTCACCACTGTGAGCTGCAATGGCAATGTCCTCATCAACGTAGGACCCACCAAGTATGGCACTATATTACCCATTTTTGAGGAACGTCTTCGGGATATGGGACGCTGGCTGAAAATTAATGGCGAGGGCATTTACGCCTCGAAGCCTTGGATCTATCAGAACGACACAGTGACCCCTAATGTGTGGTATACCCGACACCCGCAGGCCTCCAATGGCAGCATTACCGTCTATGCCTTTGTTTTGGAATATCCCTACGACACCAATGAACTGGATATCTATCCTTTGGGGAAGGATATCAACATCTATAATAATGTCCTGCTGACAGGTATCGATATGGGCCTCACAGCTGAGATACTCAATGAGGAAAGCACTGAGGTGGTAATGCTGGGCATGGAGGATACCAAAATTCAGGTAGTTACTTTAAACTACTATAGTTTATATAAATTTTATATTATATATATTTTTTTCAGTGGACTTCTACCCACAATAAGCTGCATATTATTTTTCCACCTAAGAATCGCATCGATAAACGTGGCCTAGACTTTGCCTGGACTTTTAAGATTACAATTAAATAGTTTTAAGACTTTATACTTTTAAAAGAAAAATAAAAAGTAAACATTTCATATAATTTGACTTTTATTTAATAAGGCTAAATATTTAAAAAGAGGTTATAATTTGTCTAAAATAATTACAATAGCTTGTAGAGTTTCAACAGTCAGTGGAAGTAGCATCATTCTCAAGTGAATTATTACAAATTAAATTCATTTTTTTAAATAATTAAATCCTGATTATTATTTTATTTATTTATTTTCATTTAAAAAGTCTCTATGGCGTGGCCTCAGCCTCCTGCTTGGGCTGGGATGTCCTGTGCCTGTGTCCTGATAACTGAGCCCGAGAAAGCACTCCACCGTCACAGGTGACACAATGGTAGTGGGTGTGCCGCAGGGCATACGTGCAGGATGGAGAATTACAGGGCTCATTGCCGCTCACCTTCCGGAATCCTGCCGACCGTACATAGTCCTGTCGCAGGTGCAGCCTCCTGTGAGCCACCACTTTGTTGGAATCCGTGCAAACGTAATCACACTTCCGGCAGTGAAAGTGCGATGTCTTTTTAGAGGTGGAGGCCATGGAGTCTAAAGGATCTAAGGGAAAATATTTATTTTAATAAAAGAATAGTTTTCTATAGAATATATATAAACCTGAATCTGTGGATCTACCGGATGAGGCAGCATAGGAACAACTTGCCACACCACATTGCATGTTGGCCCGGAACTGCCGGAAATCATCGCCCATCAGGGTGTCCATTCGCTCGTGGCGGGCTGTGTGTTGCACAAAGCGTGTTTTGTCGCAGAAACTTAAAAAATATATCGTTAGTACTAATATTTTAAATAAACAATAGTATTTAATCCACCTACCTATAATGACAATCCCTTCGATTGCAATGAAAATGCGATTGGTGGTTTCGATAGCCACACCTCTCAAATCCGCAGTCCTCATTAAACCTGAACTTGAGGTAACCACTAGGGATATCGTGATCTCTTATCCTTCTTCCGGGTGCCCTCTGACCAGAGGAATCGGCTGTTGCAGATACAGTTGTGGCTGCTGCCGTGGCAGTTGCATTCGCACTGGCTGTTGCTGCCACTGCTGCATTGAGTAGCAGCAACTTTTGGTGGGCAGCACTCTCCAGTAGTAGCCTCATGTCCGCGCCGGCTCCTGATCCCGATCCGGGCAATGCCAGTGGATGACTAGCCGCTGCCAGGAAGCTGGGAAGAAGCACCTGTCGCTGGTAAAGATCGATGAGTTGCTTGAATTGCAACAAGTTCATATTCAAAGGAGGTTCCACATCCGCCGCCGTGGCAGTCGGTTCCGGGAGAGAAGGTCGCATGCTGAGGTCCTCTGGCTGATCCACTTCCAGGTCACCGGACTCCTGGCGGTCAATGAACCGAGAGGCACGTGGTACTTCCGGATTTTCTGTTTGACGAGATGAACTTGCGTTTTCCGGATAGAAAGTTCCCGCCGCGCGAACCACTTAAATTGGATTATAAATTATAAAATTAATTATTTTTCTTTATTTAATTTTTTATAAAAAAAAGCCCAAACTTACCTGAAATTCTCTCAAGAACTTTGTTGGAATCATTCTTTGATGTTGCTGTATCAATAGACTGTGAAGAGTGCTGTAACAAAAGATTTCTGTATAGTTTCATGGACACCTTATAAGGCAATGATAATATTCCCCATAATTTGGTAAGCACTTTATCCCATATCTCCGAATATGACTTTACCTGGAAAGAAGACTCTTGACGGCTGCTTTGTGGCACATTTGCCAAGTGGCTCACAGAGCTGAATGAGCTCCTCCTGGGCGAGGGAGCCACGGGCGTGGATGAGGATCTAGCCCACAAGCGATTCCTCTTCCGGTTCCGACTAGGCGTGAGATCTATTTCGGTTTCCGGCGATTGAAAATGATCCTCAAGATTATCGACTAGAGAGCCACCGGAAATAGGGGTACCCGGATCACTGCGCTCCAGCTTAAAGCTGGTGAAGATGGCCTGCGGGGAGTGCTGAGCCTGCGATGGAAAAAAAATTCCCATTTACTTAAATAATTTTTCAAATGATATATTATTTTTTGGTCAAGCCATTGAAACGATGTGGGGGCGCCTTTCATGGAATTAAATTACTTTGGCATGGCAGGGCCGTACTCGTACTCGTACTCGGTGCCACTGCCCATTGTCATAGTTTTCGGATTTTGAATTTTGGATTTATGACAAACAATCGGCCGCAACCAGTTTATTACTCGTATTTCCGAAATTACTGTTAATGTTTGTCGTTGGCCCAAAATGTCACTATTTAAATTTTGTTCACGCATCAAATCAATAATAAAAATGAAAAAAAAAAGAAAGAATGAGCAAAGTGAAAAAGCCAAAAAGCAAAAACAATGGAGAAACCAAAGAAAAATATTTTGAAAAAATATTATAATCAAGTAAAGCACGGGAATACTCTTTAAAAAAATAAACAGATTTTAATATTTAAAGATACTATATGGTAAAAATTAATACAATAGGTGGAAGCTAGAGTTTTGGGGTTTAAAGCACAAGTATACACATATTATATTTAAGGTTCTTCTTCAAGGTTCCTTGAAAAGTTTACTATAAGAGTAAGATTTATATAACCCTGATATTCAGAGATTCTCTATAAAATCTCTAGCTCTAGTAACCTCTCTAAAATATTATTTTTAAGGATAAATATTTAGAGCTAAAGCTATGGTATTGAAAAGATAAGTATACATGTATTCAAGAAAGTAAAGTATAGCTTTTAAGATAGTAAATTAAAAGTACAATATAAGGCAGCTTCTTAAAAAGTTTTCTTCAAAAACAAGAATTTTATTACTGAATTTTCAGGTGGTTTATAATATTTTTCTAAATAACTATATAAAATAATATTACGCTTGGTAGTTTATAACTACTATTTTATAAGAAAGTAAAGGTATAGTTTATATTTTGTAAGAAAGTAGAATAAAGGTATAGTATGAGGTAGTTTCTTAGAAAGTTGTCTTTAAAAATAAGATCTATATTTCAAATTTTTCAGATGGTTTATAAAATATTTCTAAATATATACAATAATATTACGTATTTTTAAAAGCGTAGATATAGTATAATGGTATTGAAAGAATATCAATATATTTTATAAGAAAGTAAAGGTATAGTAAAAGTAGTATCTTGAAAGCACTTCTCTAAAGATCTCTAAGGTATAGAGCCCTAAATAACATATAATACAATTTCTTCTTGTTCTCCAAATCAACATTAATTTCTTTATATCTTCAAGGCAGAGTATGTGCCACTCTCATAGCTCATAACAAATAATTACACCGAAAACATTGAAAGACAATGAAACGAGTTTGCCTCTACCCGATAAGTTGTGGCACACACTTATGAGCACACACACCTTATTTGATTAAAAATTAAATGAATGGAGTATCCGATTTATTATTATAGAAATATTTTTTTATCAGGCCATTCGATCTCTTTGGGAGGGATTATCGAAAGGGTCGAAAGTGCAGCCTGAATGCAGAACCATCCTTTTGATTTAGACTCTAATTTGGGTCATAACACCACCCCCTCTCACTCCCCCCATTTGTCCGGCTTATTTCCCAAAAGAATGCCGCAAATGGCAATGGACAAAAATATTTATTCAAATTCGAATTGTTTTTTTTTTTTATTCACACAGACAGTACGCGCCATGTACAGTGTGTGTACACCAAGGAGAGTGACGCGTGGGCTGGGTAATCGTAAACACACAAGTGCTATGTGGTGCTCAGTGGTGCTCGGTGGTGCAGGGTGGTGCAGGGTACTGCGGTGCGTGTGTGCATGAGCTTGGAGCTCGAAACAAAAATGTAGAAATTATGAAAATGACAGTTAAAAGCACAAAACGATTGTCACCTGGATGGGGGGGAGCTGGCAGCAGAGAAAGGGTTTTTTTTTTTGGTCGGTGGGGAGAAAGGAAGTAGGGCGGTGACGGGGGCGGGGCAGTAACCAAGAGAAGTGCCGTCGTCGAAGCTAGACGGGCAAATGATATAAATGCGGAAACACTCGTTGTCAATATTAATATGACGAATATGGCAAAAACCAAATCCGAAAACTCAATTCAACGCACAGCACACAAAATGCCGCATTAGTCCCAGTCGATCATAAGGGGGGGGATCGATATTTTCATTCCAAAAGGGGGGCTTAGGAGGGTGAGGGCGTATATAGTAGTAACCTACGTTGCACACAAATAGGCGCAAATTCCTAATTATATTCGAGCTACGCCCTAAAGTTGCAGACAGACAGAAAAGGAACCAAGCAACTGGGTCGCAAATAATTTCCTTAAAGAAATTCTACAAAAAAAACAATATAGAAAGTGGTGGAAATAAATTTAAATTCAATTAATTAAATAAATAAAATAATAATATATAATATTTTAAAATAAAATATCAACTCACACTCTTGTAGACTTCAACAAATCGATTTTTTGGCGGTCTTCCACGTTTTCGATTAAAGAATCCATCAATGGAGGTGATCTGGGTGGGCTGGCCAGCCTCGGTGGTGAACTCCATATCCGTAATGCCACTGCTACCAGACTCCATTCCGTGTAATATTTGATCCGTGATCTTCCACTATGACTGCCGATGACAAGAAAGAGGTGAGCTTGCAAGCCGATACGAGGAAATGCCAAGCTCGTGACTCATTTAACCCACTGCCACTCAGCAAAAAATCCAAGTAATTGGCCAGAAAAAGGGGCCTTTGACCAACACCTTGGAAGGTTAATACCCGAAGGGAGGTCAGGTTTCGGCGCCAGGCCCCCCGAACGGCCCCTAGCCCCCTTTCTGGGTATTATTCTATGCAATGGTGTCTTTACACTTTTCCAATGAATTGGCGAAACTTTTGATTATTATATTAATGTAATAATGATTTTTATATTGAAATTATAGATCTCTTTCTTTGAGTGTATTATTTAAGCAAAAGCCCGAAGAACTCCCTGGAACACTTTGCATATGGGCTGCATATGACTTCGATTCGAATCGATATTCGGAATTCCAGCTTGCGGGTGGCACTGCCACACGAAATCTCTGGCTGTTCTGGATTCTCTGGTTACACCGAGGTGGGCAAAAATAAATTGATTCGCCGGCTCAGTTGGCCAAGTACAATGGCCAAGAGCGTTGTCAAATGGGCTCGGCGGTTGGGTGGTCCTCCTCCGATCCCACCAATTAAGCGCCCGACGATTGTCTGCAGGCGATTAGCAGCCCGCGCTCTCTGAAGTTACCTGCTCGGCAGTTACCTGGCCCACCTGAGCTACTATCTGTCTGATCTGCATGAGCCAGCTTTTTAGTCACTTATGCACATCCATATTACTTCGATTCACAAAGGAGCAGATTCTGGAGATAGCGGAATCATTAACCAGCAAATGACAATTTTATCTCGATTCGATATCGAAGGCACAAGGCAACACACAACAAAACAGACACTTGTTTGGATTCAGTGGGTATATGTTTTATGGAATTGAAATTAAGCACCACCCACCAGTTTAAGATTATGAAGAAGAGCACCACACATGACAGGATTATCCTTTTTTTTTTTTTTAGAAATTTTTTATGATTTTGAGACACTATACAGGAAACCACACCGATCGGAGCACCACCGAAACGCGTCCACCAGCGGCAAGCAGCCTCATACGAGTGGCGATTGCTTGCCGGTGGTTTTCCGATTCAAGCCGATCTCCAGCCGAACCACCAAGCCCGAAAGCACCAGAATTCTTCAAGCCATGTCTATGGCCATAAAAGAAATTAAATCGATAAGCATAAGCAAGCCAATAACTCGATGGGAAATCAATAAAAATTAAAAACAATATTTAATATTTATAGTTGTAAGGTAAAAAATGTATTTAAAAATTCAACAATGTAATAGAAGCATGATTTATTTAATATATTTAATAAAAATTTTAAAAACAATAACAATTAACACAGTATCCTTCCCAAATTCTTCCCAAAGTTCCCGATCATATATATTAATAGAACTGCCAAGGATATACTGGCAGAGTCCTTATTCCAACATCCATTCCTTTGCACCGCAGACACACTTGAGAACAAGATCTTGCAGATCGCGGATTTGCTTGAGAAGGTCCTTGCAAAGAGCGTCCCGACCAGAGCAGCCAGGGCATGGTTCGCCTCCAGGACCGCACTGCTTGCAACCACACGGAGGCTTAGCGGTGGTTGGCTTCGGAGTTGACTTAGTGGGTGGTGGGGTTGGCTTCGGAGTTGATTTAGTGGGTGGAGGAGTTGGCTTTGGTGTTGACTTAGTGGCTGGTGGAGTTGGCTTAGGAGTTGACTTAGTCGGTGGTGGGGTTGGCTTTGGTGTTGACTTAGTGGCTGGTGGAGTTGGTTTCGGAGTGGACTTAGTGGCTGGTGGAGTTGGTTTCGGAGTGGACTTAGTGGCTGGTGGGGTTGAATGAACAGGAGGCTTCTTAGTGGTTGTCTTTTTAACGGGTGGCTTCTTAGTGGTTGTCTTTTTAACGGGAGGCTTCTTAGTGGTTGTCTTTTTAACGGGTGGCTTTTTGGTGGTTGTCTTTTTAACGGGTGGCTTTGTGGTTTTAACGGGTGGCTTAGTAGGTGCCTTGGTGGGGCTGGGGCAAGGCTCCGGAATGATGAGACAAGGTGTGGCCTCGGCCTCATTGGCAAAGCCAAGAAGAACAATGAACACTGAAAGGAATACACGATTTTTTAGTAAGATCCTGGAGAACGTTAGTTTTATACCTACCAAGGATACTGGCGATGGTCAGCTTCATGTTTGCTCCGAATGAGGACGACACCACAAACTGATATCTTTCCTTAGCGCATTTCCACTTTTTATAGGAACCTTCGAGGTGCGCATTGTAATTTTTGTGAACTTTCAACAGCTCTACTTCTAAAAATGGAATAAAAGGGTAAAACATTTGTCGATAAAATAAATACAAACACAGCCCTTCTTCGATTTCTGATAATTATAGATGAAGAAGGGTCAACATATTATAAAATAAATAATGTAGTGCCGCACGTGGGTAAAATTTTAAACTTAAAGCCTGTACGAGGGGTATTACCTCCAAAGCGACCTCCAATCACCTGCGACGAGGAGCTCCCCATTGTTATACCTTTAACTTTTAATATAATTATATAAACTGAAGTAATATAAATATATTTTACTTGCAAGTATATAAATTGTCTTATTTTTTTTTTGTATTTTTTAAATAATATAAAAAAAAGTATATATTAAATTTCAATTATTAGCAGTATAGTAAATTTTACATTTATTTTACTCAACTCTCTAGCAAATACACAAACCAATTGGTGGAACATGTGGAATTGAAACGTTCTTAAGAAAATAAATATTTCTTCTTTTTAAAAGAAAATTAAAAATGAATTGGCCTTCCCCTAAATACGCATTTATATTTTTCAAAATTAAAGAATAATTATATTTTAGGTTTTGGGATTTATAAAATTTATAAATTGAAATAGTTGACAAAATATGAATCACAAAAGAGAGTCCTTATTTTAGACAAGAATATATTTTTAATAAAATAACAACCTTGTTTTAAATCTTGTAATGTGTTTTAGATATTGAAAAAGACCACGTATAGCAATGAGTTAAAGGTTAAAGAACCAAATTTATTAGCAAAAACCTACCTCATAACCACCTTAGTAATAGACATTGTTTAAATTTATGGAATTCCCGTAGGGCCGTCATTATTGCGGGCGTCATTTTTTGTTGCCACTTGAATGAACCAGCTGCTCATAAAATGCCTTTATATTTTTACAGCTGTATCTTTATAATATGGAATCTTAAGGGAACAATATTTACATATGTATTTGGCTAATATTTAGTTACTTTTTAGAATAATGAAATCATTTTTTTGGCAATCATTTTCTTGAAGCCATGGATTTATATAAAAGGGTTTGTGGCACTTTGCTAAGACAGTTCGCTAAGACAGTTCCAAACAATCATCCAAGATGAAGTACCTTTTCACAGTTGCTTTGATCGCTCTGGCCATCCAGTTGGTTGCCTCCACCGGCACTAGCACCACCAGCACCGAATCCACAACAACAACAACAACCACCACCACAGATTCATCTGATACCACTACAACCACCACAGACTCTTCCGACTCCGATACCACAACCACCGAGAGGAAACACCGCAAGAAGCTTTGCTGGAGGGGCAACGACTGGTGCGGCACCTTCGTCCCCAAGAGGAGGAAGTGCAAGAACGGCAAGAAGAATTGCCGCAGGGTGGTCGTCAGGGTGACCCGCAGGAAGACAGCCTAAGAATTGGGCACTTCAAATTGAATAAAATGCATTAAAAAATGAAATTAATTTTTTACTGGGTATTACATGTGGAAAGGGTTTGGGGATCTTTACAATTTATAGCCAGATTCCTGATAGGCCCTTATTGCCAGATTTAATGTCATTAAATACTTTCATAATTAAATAGCCTTACTATATTATTTAATCGATCATAATCGATAATTTGTAAGGGTGAAACTTTTAAAGTGAAAAGTTTTCCACAAAAAAACTTAAGGTAAAAGCTATACTTATAAATTAACCTCTAGGTAGAAGCTTAATAAAATTGTATCCAAGAGACTAAAAAAAGCATTTTTAAATTTTTTACCTAATTTTATAGAGTCAGATAATTTTATTTACAAGAAATAGTAAATTCGTTCTTAGAAAGAATAAAAACATAGCTTGTTGTATCTTTAAGTACAACAAATAAAGACTTGGTAAAACTTAGAGATTATAGACTAAGATATATAAGATTAGATTATATGATATATCTTACCATAAATAAAACATATAAATAAATATATTGAGAACACCCAAAACTCCTTTATGTTTTTAAAAAAATAAGATAATTTGATGAGATAAAAACTAAGAAAAAACTATTTATCCGTATAGAATTCATTGCCTACTTTTATGCATAAAATGGCGGCTGTGCCCCTACATGAGCAAGTACCAAAAGTATAAGAGAGAGAGTATAAGAGGAATTTAGCATAGAGGTGTAAAAAATAACTATATGATTTTGTAGATTCTACAATTGCCATAATGAGTTAAAACTCCATACAGAGCCATATACCGACTTAAGTAATATAGAAATTCTCCATCTTAAAGTCTGGGTTTAAAAAAACAAATGGATGACAGCCAGAATATTTACCCTTTGGCTGTATTTATATACCAGTTACTATGTAAACTAATAAGACAAGTTATTTTGGTAGCAACACATTTTCATGTATTTGAGTTTGGCAAATACAGTATACTTTCCAGAATCACAAAATCTTCCACTTAGAAACAGACTTACAATATCTGTCTATGGAAGACTGTGGATAGATATAAAAGGGGTAGTCGCATCTCCAGTAATCAGTTCAAAACTTTCTCTCCTTTCAAGATGAAGTACCTTTTCGTAGTTGCCCTGATCGTCCTGGCCATCCAGTTGGCGGCTGCTGCTTCTGACAACACCACCTCGTCTGACAACACCACCACCACGACAACCGATGCCACCACCACGACCACCACCGACGCCTCGGCCTCCACCACAACGACCACCGAGAAACACCGCAAGAAGCTCTGCTGGAGAGGCAACGACTGGTGCGGAACTTTCATCCCAAGGAGGAGGTGCAGGAATGGCAGGTGCCACAGGATCAGGGTTACTCGCAGGAAATCTGCCTAAATTTTGGCCATTCAATTTTTGAATAAATGATTAAAGCAAAGCAAATTTTAAAGAGTCTTTTTTATGATATGAAAAGGGTAAACAAACTTTTAACCGAAGTTCAAAACTTTGAAAACTCTTTACAACAAAAATCTGCTCCTATAGTCCTTTCTTATCCGATTTTAAAACGGAATACTATTAATGATACAGAACTCACGGTCCTTCGAACTACATAAAAATCATGAAGTTTCCACCTTTGATACATTGCTAAATTTTTAACTCAATTTTCCATATCGAAAATAAAAAAAAGGGATTACTATTGAATATTTTTAAAACTAACAAATCATTTTGTTACATTTTTTAAAGAATATCTTTAGTAATTTGCACCTGATTTAAAAACAGATGCCCTTTAGGAATCAGAGACGTATCCCCGTCGATCTGAATTAAAAGAACTGAAAAATTAAATAAATACATTTTTGGTTAAAATGTATGGTACCCCTTGGATAAATTGCGAAACTTCGTTATATATTTTATGGCCAGTTTTTGTTACAGAATAAAGATACTTAAAGTTCCAAAATCGAAGGTATAAAATTCTCTCAGTATTGGACGAGATATACACATTAATCTATTTCAAAAATTAAAAAAATAGAAACATTATTTTAATAATAATTATTAATTTGGACATATTCAAAGTTTTTGATACACTTTACAAAATTAATATTTTAACTAATTTTCAACCGATTGAGAAACGAAATATCATTTTTTGAATGAGTGCATCAGACCTTTTCGATCTTCTTTTTTGGAATAATGAGGAACAAAAATGTTATCAATTTTTGAAAAATTTCGTGATGTTACCCTTTCAAAAATTGCGAAAAACTTATTAAAATTTTTGTTTGCCAGGTTTTGAATAAATATGAAAATACTCGAAAAGCCAAGACCAAGAAGGTATAACATTCAGTGACTTGGTCAGACCTGCCGAAACTATGGGTAACTGTTAGAGAGTGATACTGTGATCATTTCTTAAACTGTCTATTTATTAATGGAAATTTCTTTGAGTTTATTTATAGACCAGAGTGAAATGTTTAAGCCATTTTGTAAGAAGTTGTCGTCACAGCATAGTTTATGGAGGAGACTTGACTAGGGGAATAATACGAGTTTAGTAAATATTTGATTACACTCAAAAATCATAGAAACAGAACTTACAATTTCCATTTACGTATTGTGGGGCTTGGAGTTTTGAACTCATATAAAAGAGCTAGTCTCACCTCCAGTAATCAGTTCAAAACTTTCTCCCAAGATGAAGTACCTTCTCGTAGCTGCCTTGGTGGTCCTGGCTATCCAACTGGCAACAGCAACCTCCAGTAACAGCACGTCCAGCACGTCTAACACCACCACCACTACAACGACGACAACGGATGCAACCACCACGACCACCACCGACGCCACAACAACCACTGAGAAGACCCATCATCGCAAGAAGCTCTGCTGGAGGGGCAACGACTGGTGCGGCACCTTCACTCCAAAGAGGAGGAGGAAGACCAGGAGTGGAAAGCACCGCAAGCACCGCAAGGTGGTTGTTAGGGTGACCCGCAGAAGGCATGGCTGAGGTCACGGATTTCCATTATTAAATAAAATGCCCAATGCTCTTAAAATATCAGGTGTTTCTTTAAGTTTTCCACAAGATTCTTTAAGATATCGCCAATCTGTAAGGTTCTGCAACCCCAAAACTAGGGCTTGAGTTACAGCTGACTTGGATCTACTCGATTCCGCCGCTTGTTTGTAAAATTTAAATATTTGCTCATTTGAGTGAAGCAGTTCTTAAAGCAATCAGGCACAACACATTTGTTATATTTATGTTGAACGTAAATATTTGGCACCCAATCTTTTGGTAAATTGATTCCGAAGCGGAAATGTTTAATTTCGTATAAAATGTCCAACTCTTGGCCCAGATAATCAGATCATTCGATCACCTTTCCCATCAAGGAAGAAACCCGTAGCCCAGAGAGCATTCAAGATGAAATACCTTTTCGTAGTTGCCTTCATCGCCCTGGCCATCCAGTTGGCTTCGGCCACCTCACCTACCACCACTGATCCCACCACCACGACTACCACTGCGGCAACAACCACTACGACAGCTTCCTCCTCAACAACAACAACCACCGAATCGTCCTCTACTGGAACCAAGAAATGCTCTAAGAAGAACAACTGGTGTGGCACGTTCAGGCCCAAGAAGAAGTGCAAGCACCCCAAGAGGTGCCACAAGACCATCGTGAGAGTGACCCACAGGAAGGGCTAAGCTACTACGGATTTTTCTAGGCCTTATGAATGAACTTTCATTAAAAGAAATCCTATACGAAAATAAAAAAAATATATTCGATGGAAACCCATTTTCTTTAAATAATTACACACTAGGCGTATACGTAATATTATTTTTGTATGCAGCATTGCGTATACTTTTTTATAAGCTAACCATTTTAGGTAAAACTAAAACAAGCTAAAACTAAAAAAAAAATTGAATATGCACATATTTTTTATTTATATGAGAATATAAGAATACATGCGAATATAACATTAAAAAAAATTGAAATTTCCAATAAAACCTCTTTACTGCTCTTTTTGGTGCAACCCGAATGGACCAGCATCTGCGCCTGCTGTTCTTTTGTGTTATTCCAGCTGTATCTTAACATTAGAATATCTTAACAATACTTTTTTAGCAAATATTTAATTTCCGTTTAGAATAATGAAACCACTTATTTTTAGCCATTCTCTTAGTCATGGATTCATATAAAAGGGTTTGTGGCACTATTGCAAAGATGAAGTAAGATTTAGCTGTCGCCAAGTTCGCTTTGGGAATCCAGTTGGCCGCGAAATTAAAATAATCCATTTCATTTGGAATAAATGATGGAAGCAAAGCACATTTTAATGACTAATTTCGATGGTCTGAGAATAAATGTATTTTACTTCATAGAGGATATTAAATCTTATTCGATTAGAAAATGAAAAATACCCATATTATAGGTGGTACGCTTTGGAAAAAATTCGAAAAATTTGAAAACGATATTTGGGCAATGTTTTGAATAAGGAAAGTCGCTTCTGGGTTCGCTGATTACTGAATGGTACTTTGTTTTCTGATCGGACACAAATTTATAGGGGAGCCCCTTGGAAAAAATTCGAAAATTTTGAAAACGATATTTAAGCAATGTTTTGAATGAGGAAAGTCGCTTCTGGGTTCGCTGATTACTGAATGGTACTTTGTTTTCTGATCGGACACAAATTGGCAGAGCTATGGCCATCAGAAGGGGCAAAAGTGGAGAAATCAGAAAAACCCATAATTTTATAGGGGAGCCCCTTGGAAAAAATTTGAAAATTTTGAAAATGATATTTGGGCAATGTTTTGAATGAGGAAAGTCGCTTCTGGGTTCGCTGATTACTGAATGGTACTTTGTTTTCTGATCGGACACAAATTGGCAGAGCTATGGCCATCAGAAGGGGCAAAAGTGGAGAAATCAGAAAAACCCACAATTTTATAGGGGAGCCCCTTGGAAAAAATTTGAAAATTTTGAAAATGATATTTGGGCAATGTTTTGAATGAGGAAAGTCGCTTCTGGGTTCCCTGATTACTGAATGGTACTTTTTTTCCTGATCGGATAGAAATTGGCAGGGCTATGGCCATCAGAAGGGGCAAAAGTGGAGAAATCAGAAAAACCCACAATTTTATAGGGGAGCCCCTTGGAAAAAATTTGAAAATTTTGAAAACGATACTTAAGCAATGTTTTGAATGAGGAAAGTCGCTTCTGGGTTCGCTGATTACTGAATGGTACTTTGTTTTCTGATCGGACACAAATTGGCAGAGCTATGGCCATCAGAAGGGGCAAAAGTGGAGAAATCAGAAAAACCCACAATTTTATAGGGGAGCCCCTTGGAAAAAATTTGAAAATTTTGAAAATGATATTTGGGCAATGTTTTGAATGAGGAAAGTCGCTTCTGGGTTCGCTGATTACTGAATGGTACTTTGTTTTCTGATCGGACACAAATTGGCAGAGCTATGACCATCAGAAGGGGCAAAAGTGGAGAAATCAGAAAAACCCACAATTTTATAGGGGAGCCCCTTGGAAAAAATTCGAAAATTTTGAAAACGATATTAAAGCAATGTTTTGAATGAGGAAAGTCGCTTCTGGGTTCACTGATTACTGAATGGTACTTTTTTTCCTGATCGGATAGAAATTGGCAGGGCTATGGCCATCAGAAGGGGCAAAAGTGGAGAAATCAGAAAAACCCACAATTTTATAGGGGAGCCCCTTGGAAAAAATTTGAAAATTTTGAAAACGATATTTAAGCAATGTTTTGAATGAGGAAAGTCGCTTCTGGGTTCACTGATGACTGAATGGTACTTTTTTTCCTGATGGGACACAAATTGGCAAAGCTATGGCCATCAGAAGGGGCAAAAGTGGAGAAATCAGAAAAACCCACAATTTTATAGGGAAGCCCCTTGGAAAAAATTTGAAAATTTTGAAAACGATATTTTAGCAATGTTTTGAATGAGGAAAGTCGCTTCTGGGTTCGCTGATTACTGAATGGTACTTTGTTTTCTGATCGGATAGAAATTGGCAGGGCTATGGCCATCAGAAGGGGCAAAAGTGGAGAAATCAGAAAAACCCACAATTTTATAGGGGAGCCCCTTGGAAAAAATTCGAAAATTTTGAAAACGATATTTAAGCAATGTTTTGAATGAGGAAAGTCGCTTCTGGGTTCGCTGATAACTGAATGGAACTTTGTTTCCTGATCGGAAACAAATTGGCAGAGCTATGGCCATCAGAAGGGGCAAAAGTGGAGTAATCAGAAAAACCCACAATTTTATAGGGGAGCCCCTTGGAAAAAATTCGAAAATTTTGAAAACGATATTTGGGCAATGTTTTGAATAAGGAAAGTCGCTTCTGGGTTCGCTGATTACTGAATGGTACTTTGTTTTCTGATCGGACACAAATTGGCAGAGCTATGGCCATCAGAAGGGGCAAAAGTGGAGAAATCAGAAAAACCCACAATTTTATAGGGGAGCCCCTTGGAAAAAATTTTAAAATTTTGAAAACGATATTAAAGCAATGTTTTGAATGAGGAAAGTCGCTTCTGGGTTCACTGATTACTGAATGGTACTTTTTTTTCCTGATGGGACACAAATTGGCAGAGCTATGGCCATCAGAAGGGGCAAAAGTGGAGAAATCAGAAAAACCCACAATTTTATAGGGGAGCCCCTTGGAAAAAAATTCGAAAATTTTGAAAACGATACTTAAGCAATGTTTTGAATGAGGAAAGTCGCTTCTGGGTTCGCTGATTACTGAATGGTACTTTGTTTTCTGATCGGACACAAATTGGCAAAGCTATGGCCATCAGAAAAACACACAATTTTATGGGGAAGCCCCTTGGAAAAAATTTGAAAATTTTGAAAACGATATTTAAGCAATGTTTTGAATGAGGAAAGTCGCTTCTGGGTTCGCTGATTACTGAATGGTACTTTGTTTTCTGATCGGATAGAAATTGGCAGGGCTATGGCCATCAGAAGGGGCAAAAGTGGAGAAATCAGAAAAACCAACAATTTTATAGGGGAGCCCCTTGGAAAAAATTCGAAAATTTTGAAAACGATATTTGGGCAATGTTTTGAATAAGGAAAGTCGCTTCTTTCAATTCAAAACCCACAATTTTATAGGGGAGCCCCTTGGAAAAAATTTGAAAATTTTGAAAATGATATTTGGGCAATGTTTTGAATGAGGAAAGTCGCTTCTGGGTTCGCTGATTACTAAATGGTACTTTGTTTCCTGGTCGGATACAAATTGACAGAGCTAAGGCCATCAGAAGGGGCAAAAGTGGAGAAATCAGAAAAACCCACAATTTTATAGGGGAGCCCCTTGGAAAAAATTCGAAAATTTTGAAAACGATATTTAAGCAATGGTTTGAATGAGGAAAGTCGCTTCTGGGTTCACTGATTACTGAATGGTACTTTTTTCCTGATGGGACACAAATTGGCAAAGCTATGGCCATCAGAAGGGGCAAAAGTGGAGAAATCAGAAAAACCCACAATTTTATAGGGGAGCCCCTTGGAAAAAATTTGAAAATTTTGAAAACGATATTTAAGCAATGTTTTGAATGAGGAAAGTCGCTTCTGGGTTCACTGATGACTGAATGGTACTTTTTTCCTGATGGGACACAAATTGGCAAAGCTATGGCCATCAGAAGGGGCAAAAGTGGAGAAATCAGAAAAACCCACAATTTTATAGGGAAGCCCCTTGGAAAAAATTTGAAAATTTTGAAAACGATATTTAAGCAATGTTTTGAATGAGGAAAGTCGCTTCTGGGTTCGCTGATTACTGAATGGTACTTTGTTTTCTGATCGGATAGAAATTGGCAGGGCTATGGCCATCAGAAGGGGCAAAAGTGGAGAAATCAGAAAAACCCACAATTTTATAGGGGAGCCCCTTGGAAAAAATTCGAAAATTTTGAAAACGATATTTAAGCAATGTTTTGAATGAGGAAAGTCGCTTCTGGGTTCGCTGATAACTGAATGGAACTTTGTTTCCTGATCGGAAACAAATTGGCAGAGCTATGGCCATCAGAAGGGGCAAAAGTGGAGTAATCAGAAAAACCCACAATTTTATAGGGGAGTCCCTTGGAAAAAATTCGAAAATTTTGAAAACGATATTTGGGCAATGTTTTGAATAAGGAAAGTCGCTTCTGGGTTCGCTGATTACTGAATGGTACTTTGTTTTCTAATCGGACACAAATTGGCAGAGCTATGGCC